TATCTGAACTCTGTTGGCTGACATACAGAGTCTATCCCCTAATCTTGTTGTCAGCCTACAATCTCTGTATGATCTCCTAAATGTGGAAAAGGTTGAGTTGTCTGATGAACTAAGACAAGTTGTGACTGTTGCTTGGGGCAGTGCCTGAAGTGCTAAGGGAACTTAATGTCCGGTCCATCCTGAGTTAGGTAGCTCCTTAGTATCTCAAATACAGAAAAAGCTTTTTTCTGTTAGTGTTGAAAGGGTCTGCTCTGTTCTGACTTTTCATCTGAAGGGCATGAAGAACAGTGTGAAGTTCTGAACCTCACAATGAGTCAGGGGTCCATGCAGATTTGCAAGACATGCTATATTTCCTAAAGAATGTAGCTACTACATGGAAAACATTGAAAGTACCTTAGTGGCATGGACAGTTTAAGAAAAAGAACTCTGTACTGGAAGTGGTTTGGGCCAGCTAGATATCAAGGAAACTACAGGAGAATGCTCATATATAAATATCTCTTTTCTGCTGTGGTGGGTTAACCTTGGCTGGCTGGCAGGTGCCCACCAAGCCACTCCCTCACTCCTCCTCCTCAGCAGAAAAGGGGAGAGAAAATAAAATTAAAAACTCATGGGTCAAAATAAAGGCAGCTTAATAAAGAAAACCAAATGTCATGCACAGAAGGAAAGGAGAAAAAAAGATTTATTCTCTACCTCCAACAGCTGGTGATGTCCAGCCACTTCCTGGGAAGTAGGGTCTCAGTATGTAGCGATTGCTTTGGAAGACAAATTCCTTAATAATGAATGCCCCCCTCCCTCCTCTTTTCTCGTAGCTTGTATTGCTGAGCATATCATCCTATGGTAGGGAAACTCTGGTCAGTCTGGGTCAGCTGTCCTGGTGATGTCCCCTCCCAACCTCTTGCCCACTCCCAGCCTACTGGCCTTTGGGGGTGAGGGGGAGGGTGGTGGAGAGGCTGCCTCAGTGCTGTGCAAGCACTGCTCAGCAGTGGCCAAAACACTGGTGTGTTATCAACACTTTTCTAGCTACAAATACAAAGCACAGCACTATGAGGGCTGCTGTGGGGAAAGTTAACTCCATTCCAGCCATATCCAATACATATTAAAAAAAAATCTAGAATTGAATCCTACTGTGGTGAGGAAGAATACCTCCCATAGCAGAGAGAGAAAGAGGGAGGAAGAGAGGGAGAGTGAGAGAGGCATTCACTTATGAGTGGCATTTGGCTACAACATTAACAAAGAATGAGTCAAAAATAGCTCCCACTCATCTGGCTGCCACCCAAGTGGGAAAAGTAAGTTGTTTAACTTCTGCAAGAAGGGATGATCCAAAAGAGCAGTCACTACAAAACTCTCAATGATTGTCTTCTCTTCCCAAGGATCGTGCTACTACCATATAGTCCTAGTACATCCAGATAAGCTATTCTGAAAATGTGGCTGGTTGTTAGGTGTCCCACAGACTTCCCAGAGTAGAACACACTTGGAGTTGTTACCTTCCAGTAGTGCTTGGACCAGATAAACTTTTTCCCCAAAAATATGCATGTACATTCAGAGCTCAGTGTAACATGAGCATCCCTGACGGACAAAATCAGTCTTCTCAGGGACTGAATGAGGGAATTCAAGCAGTAATTCCTGTCATCAGAGAAGGGGGATTTCTAGGAACTGGCTTTCCCGTGCTTCATAGAGAGTCTGCAATCCCAAGCTAGTGCTGACTCAACAGTAACAGGGTGTGAGAAACTGCAAACGCAGCAGCTGTAATTGCTTGAGGAGAAGTCCTTGCCTATCCATGAATGCTAAAAATTGAACTTCACATTCCAGTGGCAATTCTGAATGAATCACTCAGTAAAGTGATTGGGTTGTATATGAGCAAATTATACTGGGCAGGCAGTAATTGAAGATACTCAAATACAAACTTTGTAATTAATCTCCTTTTCAAAATGGATAGGTCCAAGGATTTTGAATCTTTAAATAAGGTAATTGGAGAAAAACACTGACTTTTCTTTTTTTTTTTTCCTGGTTGCTCTGAGGCAACCCACTGCTGGGTAAATACAAATACACTATGCTCTCATAAATATCACACATATTTTTGTCCTTGGTTTTCTTTCTCATTAGATAGTTTCCTGAGATGTTAACTCTCCAGACATGGAAGATGAACTTGAGCAGTCTACTGCCTTTGAATAAGTTTCTGTCCATGCAAAAGTATGGGTGGGCTTTGTTCTCAGTAAGGACTACCAGTGCACTTCTGGAATACAGAACAAATCACGATGCAGATAGTCACAACGCGTGTTAATAATGTGCATGGACTCCTGGGACCACTGGGGACCCAGCGTTTTCCATAATGCAGGACCCTATGTACCTTGTTACAGGAATATTGATGGAATACTGTGAGGTAAGAGTGAAAGTTCTTAGATATGATGGAGCTAAGGTGTTTGGTACCAGTGTTGAATACTAATAATTTTTCTGTGGTGATGCAGTAGTATCAGCAGTACTTAAATTTGTAGTACCACAAAGAAGTCAGAACTTGGTCAACTGGGACTTTTATAATGGATTTCAAATATTAGTGCTAACTATTTACTGAGCAGAATGGATTTCCTCCTTCAAATTTGTGCATGGAGACACTTTGTGAAGGAGTCGAGGCAATCCAGACTTATTTTTTTACAGAGAGATTGTGAAAAGTCCTATCTCCAAAGCTGAGAAAGGTGAAGAAAGCAGTTTCTTGGCACTGTCATACTAGACCTCCTTGAAGAAAGGTTCCACCAGCAAGCTTTGAAGCTGTTAGTATTTGAAGTGACATTCTTAACCCGGCAGAAAGGTCAGATAAAGATATGTGTGCAGAAAGCTCTGGTGATGCCAGACAGTCACAAGTCAGGTCTGTGCAGTTAAAGAAAAACAAATATGGTATTTTATTGCCCCTGGACTCACTGGGCACATGTAGGTATGCCATTATTAGGAATAGATACCTTGTGCTGCTTCCTTTTGTTGATTTCAACAAAGCCTGAAAATTATCACACATTTTGAGGTTTCTTGCAAAAAATTACAGCTTTTTAGAGGAGAGATAGATGTTTGAGTGCCTGAATTGTGACTATTAACTGTTAGTGTCTACCAATGTAGACAAATGTTTTCGTGTTTCACAAGTATTATCAGAACGTAGCAGTTCCTGTCTCTGACACCTGATGCCCTGAGAAACACAGAACACCAAGGCAGGCTTGTAATGTTACTTCTGCAGCACCCTCTCCAATGTCCAGTGGCTTCAACCCTGGGATATCCTGAACCAGTTTAGCATGGGTTTGAGCTGGGTTTTTTTCCAATAAAACAGCCCTTATGGGTTTTCTTCCACAAATTTGTTTAACTGCTTTTTGGCTCAAGTACAATTTTATAGTTTACAGCAACCACTGTCTGAAAACTCATTTACACATTCTGTGCAGAAGTACCCAATCTTGACCGTTTTGAACTCACCACCTGGCATTTGCCTTTGATGCAGCAGATGAAGAATGACTATGCTGGTTCAGACTAAAGTTTTTAGTTTCATAACCAAACAGAGGTTCAGTAACAAACTACCCATGTTTACAACAGCTTCTGAGATTCCTCAGAAACAAGATCTTTTTATAGAGTATCAGCATCAAATTTATTCATGTGAATGGAACGAACAAAACAATGCCATTTTAAGCTTCTTTTCTTAAGAAAGAAGGCTATGCATTTGCCCCGTGCATCCATCATTCAACCTCTCCTTAGTAATTTCTGCCCTTGTTGGCTTACGTTAACTCCTTTGTCTGAGCTGAAGTAGTCCCAAACCCAATTAAATATATATATCATAAATCAACATTTTGGTAGAGTCCAAAGATAATGACTCCTTTGAGGAAAAAGTATCAGTATAACCTCAACTTTTATTTAGCCCATTAGGCCCTCAGCATCCAGATGGGCCAGTCTGTCTGCCAGTCAGCACACCAGGTCAGTTTTGAGTGAGTGACAATATTTAGTGATATGTCTCTGCTGTTAACAAGAGAACTGGGGGTAAGCAATGGGTAATGTGGAAGGTGTTGTTAAGAAGTGTCACTGATGGAGAAGGGAAGAACTAGAAACACTATGGGAATTCAGCTCAGGGAGCACATGAAGACGAACTGAGATTACTACTATGGGATAAAGGGGGTGGAGATGTGAAGACTAGGACATAAACCCATGGGAAGCCAGACTTCATTAGCTTTGTTTCAAATGGAGTAACTTCCTTAGTATCAGAATCTACCTTTTTGACTAGTTTACAAACTACAAGCAAAATATTTGCAAAAATTAGTCAGCAAGTTTTTTACAGAAAGTGATCACCTATCATTCAATTTACTAATAAATTTAATCTTACCGAAACATTTTAGTTTATTTTCTCAGATTCTGCCATGGAAGAGAGAACCTATCTATGCACAGATACACTTCTCTTGCTATGAGGTAAGAGTTACTTCTATCTGTAGGACAGTATGTTATATGACTGCTACAAATTGGAAACAAACTATAGATGTTTTAACAGGTGAAGAAAAGAAAGGGAGAAGCAGATGACTGGATAGTTTTAAGACTCATCAGTTTTCCTTAAGATTTGTTTCCTGACATAATATTTTCCATGAAATTCCTATTTTTTCAGCTGATCAGAAAAGTTGGCTTTGAGAAAAAAAGTTTAAATTTGTTCCTATTTTTGTTAAAATGTAATGGTTTCTTAGTTTTTACAAGACATATTACAAATTTGGACACTCTTGTCAGCGTCAGCATAGCCCTAAAACATGAAAAGGGAACAAGTAACTCTTTGACAGAGCAGAACTAAATTGAGAGGAGGATGTGCAACCAGTGCCAGACATACTCCTGCCAGAGTTCGGATTTATATCTGTACCATTTGGGGTTGGAACTTTTCACCAGTGATTTGTACATTTAAAACCAAACCAAAACAAAGCAAAAAAAAAACAAACCCAAAAACCCAAAGACAAGTTTTTGCCAGAGCACAGATTCAAAAAAGAAAATAGTTGACAGGTTACCTGTGCAGTTCTTCTGGAAGTTGGGATTCTCTAGCGGATGCCCCGGGATGCGGCACTGAAATCTGTGTTGCCAGAACTCAGGAAACCAGGGATTGCGGGTGTTGGTGTCCAGACGCAGCTTCAGATAGTAGTCATCAAACGACAAGACCTCTGGAGACTGCAGTTTGATAGTGATGCCTCCATTTGCTTCGGGTTCGTAACCTTCAATTACTTCATCTCTGTCTGCCCAACCATCACTGAAAAGAGGCAAAAAAACATTTATTACACAAAGACAGGAAGCTTGTTTTGCAAAAGCAACCAGCCAAAGGCAGGCCAGCGCTCTCAGAAGCAAGTGATTAAGGGGCAATCTAAAGGTACATCTAAAATTAAGGCAGAGAGGGAAAGAAGAAAACACAGTGATGAAGAATTGTAATGAGCAGTCTGACTGGTTTCATGCAGAGTCCTCATTAACTCATCTGCAATGGTGAGGTTTTATCCTTATCCCTCTGGCAAGGGTTTTTGGGCATAACTTGTGGTGTGATGTCTTTATGACTGAAGAGATTCTACCTTATTTAGGCTGTCCTGTAAGGGGTGGAAACTGAAAGAATTAATATCGATGGAAAGGAAACTGAGCCAGGATCCTGGGTGTTTTGCAGAAGAGATCTCAGCATGCATGGATCTTACAGCTAGAAGACTAATTCAAATCAAACATAAAGTGAGAAATGCATTGTGTTGGAAGAGAATGGAGTAAGAATACTCGATAAAGTTGACCAAACTAAAAAGAAAACCACATGCTATTCTCACACTGCATGGGATTTGTGATAACAAGCTTTTTTTTTCCCCTTCCTTTTTTTTTTTTTAACAAACAATGGGTTTCTATTTTACTTCTCTGTTTATTCATGTAAGAGATACTTGTAAAAACCTGAAGATAAAACTCTTTCTTGACAACATTATTTCATGGAAAGTCTATTTTAACAGGTTTGAACAAAGTCCATTGGGCTTAGCATCTGAGTTTTAGTTTAGTTCTTCTAACAAAAATCCCATTGATTTAGTGTCATTCTCCAGTTCTTATTAGGGTCCCCTAAGAACAGTGCTATTTTTGCCTAGTTTAAATGCAAACATAAGTAAGTTGGCCATTCCTCATTTTAATATGCTAGGCATGTCATGAGACAAATAGATTATTCTGGCACCTCAGATCTAGCTCTGTCCGCTCAGAATCAAATCAGTGGCACTGCAGCAGTGAAAAGCAGACAGATGAAGCACTTCCAGCAGCAAGGAACTCAAGAGGAAAAACGTGACAGACCACTAAGAGAGAAGTCTCTGTTTCACCCAAAAGAGGCTTGCGTCCTGAACTCCAGACAGACTGAAAGAAGGTCCTTGTTAGGAGCCTCTTACACACAGCCTTGAGA